ACATCTCCCCACTGAATAGGAATTCTTCAGCCGATGTGAACAGATAGTGTCAGTCTAATCTTTGAAAGCAACAGTATGAACTTTGCAGTGTATCTATGAAGAAAAAAATAATTATCCTTACAGATTATGATTTAAAATTTAAAAAAAAGCTTTGAGGTTAAGTTTAACTCTCTTCTCTTCTCTTCTCCAAACTTTCTTTTAATTATTACATTTCCTTGAAAAAAAAACAAACAAGAAAAATGCTTTTCTCAAAATTTAAAGTAGAGTTGTGACTTTTTCAGAAAAAAAATGTGTAACCTGATAGACATAAAGTTTAAAACAAATTTGTACTAAGCAAAGAAAGAAGCTATTTGAGTAATTATGGAGGGACATGAAATGGACCAGTTAGTATACTCTGTCCTACTTTATCAGGCATCTCCAGCATTGTCCATAGGGAGTTAACTTTTAGACTGTTTACTGGCTCAAAGGCCAGGCATGCATCTGAAGCCACATAGGCAAGATAATGTATCCCAGGCTACAAAAGCAGGCAAATCACTGTGCATTAAGACTGGGCGCACAATAGACAACAATGGCTTGCATAAACACTATTTAGAACTATTCACATGGCATTGAAGAGATGGGCGTCGACTCACTATTGCTGCAAAGCCGGCGCATTGTGCGGAGGTGAAAAGAAGTCTAATGAACAGGAAGCCTTATTTGAGAGAGCTGACAGTAACCATACAACAGCCGCATTGTGCGCTTGCCACCAACCCTGTGGGTCTCTACATTAGGAGAAATGATGAGAAAGTAACCCAAAAAGACACAGTGGGCCCTTGGACCCACGTAAATGCAACCAGACAATAATGGGGGACACAAGCTGTCCCCACCTTTACCCAAAGCTGCACGTTTACATGCACAGAACATCAACCGCTCTCATGGCCAAGGATAAAAGCCCCCTGGCCAGATGGAACTTTGAAGTACATTTGGGTTAGTTTACCACCAAAGACTGCAATTTTAGTGCAGCAGCAGTTAAAATATATGTCATACATTTTAAATTATATCAAACTCTGCAGGGGAAAGTTAGAAATTCTTGAGTTTGGTGCACGAGGCCTCCTCCTCCTCCACACACACACACACACACACACACACACATTCACACTCACATTATGCCCCCTGCCTCAAGCTTCATCAATCTTCCACAAAGGGATGACATCACCAATAAGCATAGCCTTTTATAGCTTTAAGCAATAAGCCTTATTTACTGATGAGATAAGCCCTCTGCTATTGTCTAGCCCTCCACTTTTCTTCTTTCTCTCGCAGTTGAAGAATCAAACAGCACTTTTGGAAGGTGACAGAGCATGCCCAGGATTTAAGGCTAAAGCATGCACAGCGGTTTCCTATTTGGTGGCCTTTCAAAGGGCCACATTAGCCAGTTTAGTTCCAAGTAGCAGGGCCAGGTACAATTACAAAAAACAGGCTTCTTTCAGAATACTTGTTCTGCTTCTTTAAGTTTTGTTTTCAACAAAAAGGAAGTTACTCTTTGTAATTTCAAATGTTTTTACATAAATAGATCCCTTATGTCGGAATGTGCATAAAAACGGATGCAAAAATCTGGGTGAAATTGTCCGTTGAATGTTAAATATACTCACACTCGACAGAGTTTGAAACAAACCACAGCCTGGAGAGTTTACGAAGCATAATCATGCATTACATGTGTGACCTATAATTACTGTTTGTAGCAGTATTAGTCGGCCAGTCCTAAGGCCAATCCAGGGTGGTCACTAAACTGCTGAGGCACCATGATACAGTGTTGCTTATCAAACCTCACCATGTGCATGTTGGGAAAAGAATACTTGCAGTTCATGTTTTTTTTTCTGATGCCATATCAAAGAGAAACTAGCTAGTTATGAGCCCTCTAATAAGTTGGAAATCAACATTTGGTAGTTTTTTTATTCTACTTTCACAAAGTCTGTCACAGGAAAAACTAGGTCTAACTAGGTTGTTGCGACAATCTAGAAAATATAGTATCAACATATTCCGAATTGAGAACCTATTTTTAACAAGATAAAAGGCCATTTTCTAACACACTACATCCAGTGTCACCACATGTATCTTAAAAACGTGCCATTTGTTGTTTGTTTTTCTTAGCTCCACACAGAGTCATGTCAGGCCTTGGGAACTTGTCAGATATTCAGTTTGTAGTCACTTTAGAAAGGCTGAGCGCAGAGTCTCTGGGGAATCGCTCCAGTCTCCCCATCTCCCCCACCCCATGTCACCAGCTAGGAACAAAGCCGCCATAGTCAATTCTCGTAATTTCACTGCAGCCTGTCGAAATCCTGTTCTCCTTTTCTCCTTCTCTTCAACAAGTACTTTATGCCGGGATCAGTCAGGTCTGAGTCGCCCACAAAAACCTGAGGCTCTCGCTTCATCGTCTTTCAGCACTGAGTTTGACACTCCCCAACTCCCTGCCATTCAGGCGCCTGCACCATGCAATTTGTTTCCATTTGTCAAACAGCAGTATCCATCACAAAAGAAAATGCTGGCACAACAGAAAGTTTGTGAAAAACATTGTCTCCTCAACCCAAAATGGCCTTGAGACTAGTTATTTATTGGCCCATAACAAAACAACCTTAAACAATTTACAACACTTTTAGTTGTTATAGATACTTGTTACATTATTCTCTCAACTGACAATAAAACGTCTTTACACATCCTCAAATCAGCACTAACGTATCACTTCTCTCTTAAAGTGTGGATGGGCTAAATGCTAGTGTGAATTCATCATTTCATTCACTGCCTCCACATTGTGCTGACTCTTATTTTGTGTTTTATTTCTTTGGGATTCATTGTGTGGACAGGCAGGTTTCCTCAGACATTTATTTATTAAAGCCATATCAGCACTATGTTGACAGCATTGCTATTTGCACACCTATTCAGATATGTCTTAAAATGGCGCTATTCTTGGGGCGACGTAGGAAGTTATCTGGTTAATAATACTTATTGTGCAAACTTTGTTGTCACCATTCTTGTGTTGGCTGTTATCGAGGGGAGAGCAGAGAGGATATATGCTGACTCTGATGTAGATAGTGCCATGAGTATTCCTATTGTGGCAGCTGCCGTGTGGTGCAGTCCCTGATAGGGTTTCGAATGCTGTCAATGCTGTGTCAGGTGCATTAGCACCTCAGAGACCCATGATGCTCCAGCTGCTATGTGCCTGTGTCTCCCCGGGCCCTGGCCGCCAGCCTGACACCCGACACAAAGTAATCACAGATCACAGCGTTTAATCACTGAAACAAGCACTCCAGAGGACCCCACTGTCAATATCCCACTCTCTCATTATCTGTTTGGATTGCACATCCACACTGTCAGATAAACAGAGTGGAAAATTAAGATTAAAAATATGGTAATTTCATTTCAGGCAGCAGGCTCCTCTCACTGGCCCATTATGCTATTGATTACCTCTGAATTCAATTTCTCTTTTCAATGTAAACTTTAATCTATTCGCAAGCCAACAATTCAACTCCCCGGGGGCTATTTGAGAGTAAGTAACCATTTAATATGACGCTGGCTGAAGATTCACTGGCTTTAATGAATTGTGTAAATCACTCAGCTTTTAAAGGGACTGATGTCCCGTGGTTCACGACCTAAATCTGGGCCTGGTTAAATACTGGCTTTCATACCAAGCTAAGTGTTTACTGACAGCCATCTCTGAATGTGTAATCACTCTGCTCTTGTCTTGTATGAAGACGAATTAAACAGCTCTTTACTAATTGAGCTGGTGATGACAGAATTACATTTTAATTGGGACTTAATGGTCAAATTGCAACACCAACATGTTAGAATAATAACTATACCACTTTACCACCATGAAACTGAATTTGAAAATTACTTGACTCAACAAGATAATCACTAGGTTGTTTTCCTTAACCGCTTGCCAATTTGTAGCATCGTGGTCAAGACCGGTTGTAACCACTGACCCGAAGCAAACACACCATTCAGACATCTGAATATAGGATGAGTAACAGCAGAAGGAAATGTTTAGTGAGTCAGTGTAATATGAGACAAGACAATGCTTTAAACACAAAATGAAGACAGTACTGAAACATTGAAGCAACACTTTTATTATACGTCATTTAAATTTCATTTGGTGATCATTTGCATCACTTTTTTATAACTAAACAACTACAAAATGCAAACTCAGTTAAATTTTATCAAAATTAGTGTTATAACACAACAATATAGAAAACAGAGAGTCTAAATAAATACATAGCATTAAACAGTCTACTGAATGTCACATTAATACTAAGGTAAAAAGTGATATATTTGTAAAGCAACAACAGCCCATTTATCAAAATAGTAAAGAGAGAAAGTTGATATCACTGTGGAGAGAGATTTTCTGAGGCGATAAACTTACAACTTTTGTCCCACGTTTCTTAGTGCTAGTCATTATCATTACCAGTACATGACATGTTATATTTAAACTTTACTGTTCCTTTGCTGACAAGAGCTGAGGTAGACATAAAACCACTATTGTCAAAGTGCTGGAGGACTACTCAGTTAAAACAGTGCAATTACAAAAAAAAATCAATAGTCTGATTAAGGCACAATAATTGCTGAAAACATTGGTGTCTCCTCTCAGGTTCTCCTTGTCTTTTCAAGCATTTTCCAAATAATAAAAAGACCTGCGAGACAATGTTTACCGTGAAAGAATAATCTAAGCCACCAGTAATTTATTGCACCAGGATTAACACATCCAATACCTGCACTCTTTTGCAGGATTGAAGCTACCCAAGAGGCCAGTACACACATACATAAACATAGCAGGGTGTAATCAATAAAAAGCCATGCAGTAATATGCTGTCAATAAAGGCACATCCTGCTTCAGATACTTTCCTCTTTTCTGTTCCATACCAAAGGACTATGCCAATCAAAATGCAGCATATACTACACTCGGCCTGGGAGTCTAAAGACATTTTTTAATATACAGTAAGGAATCTAAGAACATCTGGTAAAGGATTTGGTCAGTGATGGCAAGCGCGAGGGCCACAGCCGACTCTCCAAACTGTCAAAGAGAGGTCTCAAAGATGACACGGATGTCCTTGGCACAGCGTACGTCTGCCACTCGCTTTTTGTTCATGTAAACCTGGAAGCGTATCAGGGAAGCAGTGTCAAGAAATACAAGTACACATTCCAATCTAAGCTATGATCTGTTAAGGTGTGATTTATGACAGATCCTGTCAGAGCTGGGTGAAGGGATTTGTCACCCGCTGAAGCATGCAAAAGTGGCTTATTTAAACTTATAAACAACTGTGAAATTCAAGGGAAAAATGTATAATCACACATATATAATCACGGGAATGATTTGTTTTATTTGAGCTACCTGTGTGTTTGGTTAAAGTGTCTACAGAATGCTTGATTTCTTAATACAAAGAGGCTCTGACAGACCAATGATTTCAATAACAGAAAGTTGAGTGAAAAAGAGGCAAAACAAGTGAAAACAGGTTGGCCTCAGCATGAGATATACTGTCTACCCTGGGATTCTCTTTCAACATGGACAAAGGAGCTAGAGGTTGATATCAGATTATTGAATGTATTTAAACCTTGACTGACAACTATAGAAACTTGACACACAACATGCGGACCATCTCAGTATTTAATAAGTGGTGCTAGACAGTTATGGATGCTGCAGTAATCTGATCTAAGGAGAGCACCCTACAATAAAGAAAAGAAAACGTAAGGGCTTGAACAATGTCACTACCAATCCGCTAGTGTGCAGGGAAAGACGATACCAAATAATACCACAGTGTGCTGAGTCTTTGAAATCAGTATTTTACTCATTTCACTCCTCTGGCTGAGGAGATACAGTTCCACTGATAAATTTGTGCGAGGGACAGAGAGAAAATGAAATGATGCCTACTTTTTCTTATTTCACAAAGACCTGTTTGAAGTTGCAATATGGTATCTGTAGTCCCAGACAGATGCACATAAAATGGAATTGAACAATGAATAGCTGGCTCTTATCTGTTCAGTGTCTGAAGGGGAAATACATCACAAATGAATTTTACAGGGAAGAAATATGGACATTCTCTATTACAGTAATCCCCATAGAAAGTTTATCCCAAATCGCGATGAAGTTAAACCCAATACTTCCAAATAGATATAGTGCAAAGAAAGCTGCTTTTCTAGAATCATCTCCAAAATGATCTCAAAATTACATTATGAGAAAAAAGATTATACGTAGAGTTTATTCGATAAAATCAGAGGATGTAAATCTACAAAGGGACAATTTCTCTCTTGAAATTAATGTTATGGTGTTGCAATGCTCCAAGTAGGCACTTTAAATTAAAATGGTAATCAAGTGTCTTTGCATTGTCAGGGTTATACACATCCTCTCTTGCTTAACTGTATTATTTTGGAGGTGAGCAATGAAGTCTGGAGTTAAAGGGAGAGTCTGGGATTAGTGTGCCACGGCTGGACTCTATTTAGCGACAGCGCCGTCCTGGCACAAAGGTGGGTGTGGTTACCTGTTTGGCTGTGTGCAGCAGTGAGGCGGCCTCAGCTCTGCCTGTCTGTTGCACCATCTGGTAAAAGAGCCCATCCTGGTTCTGGAGCAGCACATATGGCTGGTCATACTCCTGGATCCTGCCGGCAGCCAGAACCTGCAATCACACACACAATGCTGGGTGTGTGAGTGTGCGCCACCACCTGTATACTTTACTTGGGGGAAAACTGACATTTCAGCTGTTTCACTACTTAGTGATGCATGCAGACAGTGCAGGATGAATGGGGAAACAGTAGTTCTCTGCACATAGGAACCATCCATTTTATCTGAGTCATGCAGCAGCAAACACAGGTGCCTGTTTCTGCTCGACAGGGCCACGGACAATGAGTGTAGCCTGTTAGTAGTGTGAAAGTCTAGTACGCTGACTCTGACAGACTGAAGATCAGTGATTTATCCATGTATTTATCCCGGCATTTCAGTGGCTCAGGGGTGGTCCTCAAGTCAAATCCAACAATCACACCTTGAAGACACTCTAGAAAATTACCATCATTTCTGTGTCATCACATGCCGTATAAACCACACAAAGAATAGTGCCAATACAAGCAGTTTGGAAAAGACTACAATTATATCACAGACAAATTTTAACAAGCTCGATCCCCTTACAGCGGTAATGAGCAGTTTGTTATCGCTAAAACCCAGTTTCAGGGAGTGTTTAGTATGAAAGGGAGACTTCTGCAGCTGCTGTCATAATCGACAGTTTAGGAGTAAGATACTAGGAGATGGAGTTTGAATCTTGGAAAACATTTTGCGTCTAAATGTGGCGCAGCTTAGGATTTGGACATGGCAATTCAGGTGGGCCCCAATTTAGTTCTCCCGGTGTGCGAAACAATCTGGGGGCATTTAACACAAGTGTAGGTGTGAAACAGTCCCTGCTGTGCGATATTTGGCTTTTCTCAGCAACCCCTCAGTGACCGAGCAGCCACCAGGTCGTAGCCTGTCCTCCATAGACGCTTAACAAATGCTGCCACAAATGGCACTAATTGGCACCTCTGCAGGCAGTAGCAGGAAAGGGCCAAAGATCAAGTGGCACAAGCACAGGCTCAATGAGAGGGAATGCTGTGAGGGAGAAATCAGCCCAGCTGTTGCAAAATAGGGCAAGTGAATTAAAAATCTGCCAAGATTGTGTAGCAGGCCCCAAAAACAGGAAGGGGTGTTTGAAATCTCTGAATCTCGGGTATGTTTGATGCACAGCAGTGTGAGTGAATACGAGGCGCGTGTTTTTGCAGGCTATTTCACATTTTACCACAAATTCTTTACACAACAGGAGCTCAATTTATTAGAGTTGATAAGAAAGAACAAAAAAGGGTTCCTGAAGTTTGTGAACAAAACATAAGTATCAATAAACCCTAACCCTAACCCTATCAAAAAACCCTTTTTTCTGTCTGTTATCATAAATCGTTCCCAATAACTGATTACAGAAGGATAGTGGTCTTAAAAAGTGACTGAAGTGCAGGACAATGGAAATTTACTGTGTTCTTACTTACCAGTATTCTGTCACAGTCAATGATAGTGTTGAGCCTGTGAGCGATGGTGAGGACTGTGCACTCTTGAAACTTGTCCCGGATAGTCTGCTGGATGAGGCTGTCAGTTCTAAAGGAGCAGGGAACACAACACCTCAGCACAAAAAAACTCTCTTCCTATACACCCTTGGGCAGGGATTTTACTTAACAGAGAACAATGGCTCATCAGCAGGCAGGTATGTGCAGTAGTAGGCATGGCAGAAAATAATATATATCTTATTTTCACTTGTAATATCTTCTGATTTTATTCCACATTATCTTTTGTCATGATAAGGCCAGAGATATACTTGCTTTTAACTACGCGTTCATGCAAGTATATGTGCGGCCTAATAGTTAAAATTTTGGTGTTTTGTTTTTGATTATTCATTGGCTGTTTACTACAGTGAGCTGAATTGGTGTGCTCTAGTTAATCACACAATTTAACTTAATCTTACATACTCTGTTTACTACCAAGCAATGTCCATTATGGTTGATAAGTCTTTAATTTCTTTGTCATGATGGTTTTAGTCATGTTCTATTTATGTATTTGCCCTGTAGTACCACTGCATATCTGTAGTGGGACTATCCTTATCACAAAAAATACCCACCGAGTAGCACTAGTTTGCGGTAAAGAATCTACATGTGGAAATGACTGTTCAAGCACTAATGAAAAATCAATTTAGTAGACACTTGAAGACTCAAGTGTCCCCTGACCTCGGGTCCACATTGGCTGTGGCCTCATCAATGATGAGGATGCGGTTTTTCCGGAGGATGGCCCTTGCCAGACACACCAGCTGCCTCTGGCCCACGCTGAAGTTAGAGCCTGACTCAGTCAGCACCGTCTCCAGCTTATTGGGCAGGTCCTCCACCACGGCCTTCATCTGCACCTGCAGAGAAGGAGAGCAGAGCCCCAACCCTTCATTACTCCTGCATAAAGGCTTCCTGTGGGGATGTCGTTAAAGAGCTATCCAAACACACCCATTAACCGCCTGGCACAATGCAGGGCCAGGTCCACTGATGACCTTGGCCAGTGCTCTCTTGTGGCCAGCCTCTAGCTTTAATCCAGGCCACCAAACCCATTCAGAGGCAGGACCAGGAGCTGAAGCCCTTCACTGTGGGGGGAGCCTTCATCCTGGTTGGCCTGACTGCCCAAACACATCTCCCCCAGCACTTTCAATGGTTCCCAGTTACAAGCCGCACATTGAGCTGGGCCCCATGGCCCTAATGGGATTTCCCCCCATGACTTGTGGCGAGCAGGGAGGCTGAATGGCAGCATTGTACAGGGGGACAGAGGGATCCCCCCCTGGGCCGGCGAGGGGGAATCATTCAGAGCCACGCTGGAGTACCTCTTGGAGTGCATTCCACAGGTCCTCATCTGTGTGCTGCCTGAAAGGGTCCAGATTCTTCCTCACGGTGCCCGTGAAGAGAACTGGGTCCTGTGGATAGATGGATATAGAAAGAGAAGGCCGTAGCCAGTTAAGATAATAACAAGGGGGAAGATGTATGAAAGGGTTAAGACAAGCTTTATGGAGCGCCGCTAGGCAATGTTTGAAGGGAAGATGTTCACAAAGGGCTTGCTCCACTCAGGAGCTCCATTCAATGCTCTGGCCAACTATCCTTCAATAAGTTGATCTTTTTACTTAGAAAATCGGAGTTGTGTGAGGTTGTCTGAATATACAATATGACACAAAAAAAGTGCCATCTAGTCACTGTTACCACACAAATAATTTCATACAGCAGCTGTATTAGAAATTATAATCTCAAAATGTCTGTCAAAAGTAACAGCTTTACTCTGTCAAACACAGAAAAATCTGTCAAGATGGGTTATCGCATCAGTTGACTACCCTCATGAAAGGAGGGCCTCAGAAGTCAGACAGCTAGAATGTCCAAGATATATATTTATAGTGAGCCACACACCTGTATCAAGGTTCAGCCACACAGCCATCTTTAAGAGGGTAAATAAAGCTCTTTATTACAGTGCAGAGAAACAAGCCCTCTAGTCCACAGGCACTCTTCAAACAACACGCCACTCTGTTTGTGGTAAACCTGATAAACAGGAGCAAGCCGGCATCTCCTCGTGTCAAGTGAGATATTTATTCATAAATCCTACTCCAATTTTGAAGTGATTTACTGAACACTTAGTACTGAGGACTCTACCAGGCTGTCATAAAGAGACCGCTTTGCCTCTGCTCTAGATAAGGGGTTCATATGGCATCATTTCCCCATTGTTTTATCAGTGAACAAATACAGCTGCGCTTTCCTTGGAAAAGTAACACTGAATTTATGACATCTGAGAGGTTCTAATGACCATTTGAAAAAAAGCTTTAATGAGATGTTTGTGATCTGCCACGGCAATAGAGGTGACTCAGAGCAGCAATTAACTGTCTATAACAAGAACTTATAGACTTTCATTGTATCTGCATCACAATCAAGGTAATGTGATAACTCCAGTTTACTCAAGATAGGAATCTAACCTCAAATCAAGATAGGAAATGTTCACCTGGAAACTGTCAGATTAGACCAGGAGCAAGAGTAAAATACACAATGGGTCTAAAAGTGCCTGTGTTAAGGTTACAGAACTACTAGTCTGAACGTGACTCACTATCCACACCTTCATCTCTGCTCTCTTAAAGGTCAGCTTCAGAGCCAGTGCTGTGACAGCAACACAGAAAAAAAAATCCATCCTGCGTCCATGTGTGTAAGCACGACTATTTATACAGTGTACAAACACAGAGCACACAGCCCTCAAATACAAAATCATGTCTCAACAAACCTTCATGTAAGTCAGAAGACTCAGGCCTAACTGCTCAATTTCATCCAGAAAAATAAAGCTTTTCAGGACTTCATCCCTGCTACCTGTGCCTTAGAAAATGTTCCACCTCTTTACTTCCAATGAGCTTTTCCTTCTGTCACCAAAATACCACCTTGTCATTAAGCCAGCTGAAGTCCCAATTCAAACTAGTTTTGTGACACACTTTAATTGAGGATTCAATGTTAGGTCGGAAAAACTGCTTTCAAGCACAGCTTTCCATAGACCGATTATGTGCTCCACCAATTCTAAGCCCTCTGTTTGCCACAGAATTCATTTTTTTCAGAAGTCATTCCTGAGAATTCAATAGAAACTGAAATGGATCCTTTTTTAATGCCATATGCTAATAAAAGCTTATCATAATCAAATCTGTGGGTGGCAAATAATGAAAACTCCTCACTGGCAATGTATAGTATACATATCACTCTCAAAATTCCACATGAAAAGGTAAGGCAACCAGCAATTTATATCAAGATTTTTTTCCATGTGAAAGGCTGACTGAATATCACTTTATCTCTGACGTCTAGCAGGAGAATAAAAAGGCTTTCAGATGAATTTGTGTAAATCCAAGAGGCTTTTCGCTGTATAAGTTTGTAAAACTAAGAGCATGCTACAGAGAAACTCTACTCTTCTGAATATGGGTAAGACTTCATATCATGGAAATGCCATCCAGTATATGATACACATGGGCGTGCAGTTAAAGTTCTGACTTGTAACCTGCCACTTTGTGCAAGTCTCACCCTCTAGGAGAGACAGAAAGAGTAAACAAAATCACATCAAACACACATCACATCCATCTCAAACTAGTTTGGACTAGGAAGTAAAACTTTATCTGAAGTAGTAGCAATGCCAGAAACCTATCAAATCCACAGAAAAGCATTAATGAAACTGTTTTTGGGCATCTTGGCTGCACCCTAGAAATGTTTGAGACTTGGGCAAAGTGACGGTGTACAAGGGGACTCTGGCTGTGAGGATGGGGGAGACTTCTTCTAAGCAGCTTTCCCATGTTTGGGGGGTAGAGGACTAATCCTCTGTCAGGGATGGGGAACTGCTCTCTTCACAGTACAGGCCGTGGGAGTCTTCTCCCCTCCCTCCACTCTGCTGACACTCACCCGCAGGCTGGCATTTTCTTAATGCCGTATCAGTTTCAACAAGCGGAAATAAAGTTAAACTGTCTCAAGGCATCCGTTTGTCTCACTTTCAGAAATCCCCCGAGAGACGACTGTAATTCTCCTCACTTGTTTTAGCTTTTTAAAAGCCAGGCGTATAAAAAAGGGCCAAAGCATGAAGGTGTGTGTTTCCAGTGTTTATCTGACATTTGCGCTATTTCTCAATCATGAGGAATCAAAGAACCTTTCAGAAGCTGTCAAAGCAAAAGTCCAGCAGTTTTAGAGGACAACAACTGCAACATTAAAAGCAGCATAATATTATACCGAAACTTTAATTGCTGTACTTAAGTTCTAATACATGATGAAATCCAATATTTTTCTATTTTTATTAGCTAATTCCATTCAAATTTACCCATTTGTTACTTTATGCAGTTTCAAGGGCCAAAACATAACAGTTGAGACTGAGGGCAGTTTAATAAGGGCACCTGTGGGATGATGGACATTCTCTGGCGCAGGGAGTGCAGACCAATCTCAGAAGTCAGAAAACCATCAATCATTATTCTTCCCTCTGGTTCTGCTAGCCGGAACAAGGCAGAGATCAGGGAGCTTTTACCAGCGCCAGTGCGCCCAACGATGCCAACCTACAGTGGAGAGATGAGAACTATTTTTATTTCTGAAACATTCCACAAATTTAAAAATCACAAAATAGTATCATGTCACTGCAGCCATTTTGACATGAAATAGTAGGGTAAATATTAATACTAATTAAGGTTTGTTCCCTTCAGGTCACACAGAGGCAGGGCTCTGCTATTGTGCATGTTGGCTCACTGAAAAGGCTCTGCTATATTAAATGGAACAGGACCTTAATTAGTATCATTGGTAACACCTGTGTTTACCCTACTATTTAATGTCAAATGGCTATGAAATAGGTCTATTAATCTTAATAGTGTTCACTGTGTCGCTGAGGGAACATGTCGGCTAAGTACAATGTAAGGAAAACATACTATTCTACAACAAGCAGGTATAACAAATCACTTTTTTGACAGCACTCACATAACTTTGGCATATAATGGAGAAAATACTCACATGGCATCAGGTGAACACATCTTGATGCCATGCTGTGTGACGAACTGTTTCATTTTGTGTTGGACCTTTTGCATGTTTATGATTCAAGGCAGCTATATTTGTGTGCCCTATTGTATAAAAGTGCTCATTTCATAATCCAACAGTGTCTGTAGGATGGAAATTTGTACTTACTCTTTATTACTCTAATTCTATGATAACAGGGTGAGTCATTTAACAAGGCTATATAAACATAAAACCTTCCAGAGTTGTTAAATATGTGCATATACATTTTTTGCCGTCTGAGAAGCCTTTAAATTCCCAGATCTGTTCATCAAACTGGACCTTGTTCCTCAGACTGGATTGAATTTCTTGTCCCGCTGGTACTTGAAGCAACACACCCAAACTAACCCCCACCAATGCAGCCCATTGCACTGTTTCACTACCATGCTAGCAGCTCTGTGAGGTTTTCCACAGGTACAGCAGTGCTTTGAAGAATGCTAATGTCAGCCTGCTAACATGCTCACAATAACAACAGGATGATTTTTTAACCACCTCACTGCAAATGCAAATTTGCAAATCCTGCAACGTATATACACCGCTGTGTTAAACACATAGACCCAAAGAGGACTGACACAGAATATGACCAGTCTAGATCAAACTGCAGAGCATACTCCGTAACTACCCAAATGCAAGCTGGAACCAAATGGAAATGGTGTCAACGATGGCACCACGGGGCAAACCATTGCTCGTTCCAATGAACTGGGCTGCTGGTGCCACACACTGCTGCCTGCCAACACATAGGCTTGTTATATGCCATTACATAGCCAATGGGCAACCTTTTTGTTTAGCCAGGGGTTTATGAACAATACGACTTGCATAACAAAGAATCGCTGTGTGTGCTTCACAACATGCCAACACACACAGAGGGTGCAACAATGCCATTTTCTCTCATTTAAGGTGGAGGGTAAAAAAGGACCAGCATCAGTGATCCAGGATCTAAATAAACTCTACATATTATTAGACAGAGAGGGTGGGGTTACTGAAATAACTCAAGGTAAAAGAAAACGGTAAAGGAATATTAATTGGCAACAAACTGAAAGAGAGCTGTTCAGTGGGCTGAAATGGTACTACCATTATAAGGGCCCCCGGGAAACACAGGCAATTTTCCCATGAGGGACATAGGAACGCATCTCTGGATGCCTTTACCTGGTCCTTGTAGGAAACATTTCAGAAGAGGAAACAATCTTTCCCTAAACCCCCTCATGACCTCATGTGAAGAGGAGATGACAGTCGAATATGACAGACCTCTCTTCTCTGCAGCAAAGAGTGCAAAAGAGTGTGAAGGCATGCATTGAAAAGGCTACACCACAGTGCCAAAAGATCCTAGACAAATCTGTGCCTCTCAGGAGCCAGACATAGGCATTGCACACACGGTGGCAGGGGTGAGAAAGTTTAGATGTTTATCATGGCCAAAGATTTTCACACTTTGAATGTTTTCAATGAGGAAGTAGGAGAAAGCATTGTTGCAACCACTGACTCACAGATGGAGCCGTTGAGCTACACAATAGGTCATCCCTTTTGGGCTGAGGTCACCTCGCTCTGTGCTACTCCAAAAAATATTACTTTTATTCTGTGGACTACATGTTTTCAGTCTTTTATGGTTTTTTTTTCTTCTGGCTGTAAAGCTCTTTGTATATTTGTTTTGAAAGGTGCTATTCTGCTTTGACAAGTCAAAAGGTCAGCCTTGAAAAGGATCTATTATGAGAGTTCACAATCTCACTATTTTTTTAAAGCACAAGTTCAGGGCATACTTAAAAGTCCTCATGCCTAAATATCAAAGTTGCTCCTTTTTGATGTAAGTTCAGGGCACACTTGCGACAAGTCTTTGTGCCTAAACAACAGAGTGGGTCCTTTTGTTGGCCCCATCCAAAACAATCTATCTGTGAAGTTCAATAATTACCATGTGTTTTCTTAGTTAAGTTATGGTCAAATCTAACCAATAGCACCTACCTGGTTAAGGTTATGGGAAAAGGAAAAACCAATAAATATTACTGACTACCTCAAGTCACACTACTTCCTGAATGTAAACAAAGGTCATTTTAAGCTATTTGAACAATTCACCAATAAGGGTTGTTTTTCTCAATATAACAGTTTCATAATGCATTTGAAACAGTGTTCAGCATGGATCAGTCCCATATTCCTTGGCTTTTCATCAATCTGTATAAAAAGAAGCGTATCACATGTTTTTTTTCCTATTTCAGATAACCAACACTTGAGAATGTCAAAGTTCATTTCAGAAATCATATTGTGCAGTTATAGTTTATCTATAGCATGTAATGTAAAAGCGGGAGCTGTGCATCATTGATCTTGATTTTCTAAGTCTTGGAGATAAGGAATATGCCCTTACAAAGCTATTTCTCTCTAAACAATGGAAGGTTAACTGCGGTGTTGTAGTGAGTTGTGTTTTTTTATATGTACAGTATACGACTAGTAAGGGCCAGAGTGAATAGATCTTGTACTGTAGGTGGTAGGTGCAGGTTTCCTTGTGAAAGGCTGTCAGGGGAACTGTCAGAATACACAAAGCCTTTCACCCCCATGGCATGTGGCAGAGATCCTTCCCATGGGCTGTCAGAGCCAGGGCCTCTACACTTATCAACCCATCCATTGTGAAATCAGCCGCCCTGGCCAACCATAGCCATGCAAAATACACCCCCTGCATTAAACACAATTTCAATCATCCTCAACCATCTCCCTCTGCTTCCCTCTCCCTCCCTTCCCTCGCCCCTCTCCCTCGGCCTCTCCTCTCTCTTATAGTGAATAAACAGTTGTCACCGTCAGGTAGCTCAAAATGCAAATTGGGAACAAATGGATCCACTTGAACAGTCTTAATTACATGATATGTATTCCATGAATCACAAATGGTATAGTCCCGAAGATTCAGCAGCACAATATGGTGTCCCTTTAATAATTGATTTGAAAATAATGCCACATAAAAAAGAATCACATCACACCTTCTACGCTAGCTGCATATCAACCTGGTGCACACCAGTAACCATGCACAGGTGGGAATAAAGACAAGAACCTTTTCTCTGGATGTGAAGACAAGTGTCAGGTTCTTTAGGACCAAAGGCTCACTGGCACTGTAAGAGAAGTTGACTCTGTCAAAGGTGATGGAGCCTGTCTTGGGCCAATCATGTGGAGGCTGTTTGTCCGTCTCCCAGGGTGCTTCACTCTCCAGCTCTGCATACTCAACCACTCTTTCCACTGATGTCATCTACAAAAAACAAGGCAAATTTTTTCATAGATCATGTAGAGGTTTAATATATTAATGTTGTGAAGACGGACATTATATTTATACATTTTGTTTATTTGATCACTTAAAGCACAACTGACCCTTCCTGGGACCAGCCCACTGTACTGTACTTAGATATGCATGTGCTAGGCTTGTCAATGTTGAAAAGACCACCAAATTTTTTAAAATGGTTAAAAGATAAAAGCATCATATATATTTATCACATCTTAAGTTAGCTAATGTTAACAAAATGCTAGTTAGCTAGTGTTCTGTTAACATTAGCTATAAGATGGATGGAACAATTATTTTTGATTCATTAGCTAGCGTTCTGCTCTGTAGCAAAACGGTAGCTTACTAGCGAGCTAGCTAAGGATTTATATAGATTACAAAATCGAAATAGCAGAGGCCAAGATATGCTGACTTTTAGTTTCTAGAATTTACATTTTAAATTTTTAAACCTGTTTTCACAGGTTATGTAGTACTCCCTGTGAGTAAAATTGACTTCATGTTTAAAATCTGTGGAGTGCCCCTTTAATCAGCCTACATTTCTCTTGGGGATCCAGTCCTGAAGCACTCTTTGGAATTGACTGAAATTGATTAAAATTTTAAGAGAATAAATTATGAATGGGTTTAATGATATCCAAACTGTAGTTAAATGTTCAAATGCAAATGTTCTCACCATGTTCTCGATCTCTGCACTCTGTCTGACGCCCCACTGGAACATGCCTGTAAGTGTCACAGCATACGATAGAGCCAAACCCACCGCACCTGGTTCCAGTCCTGGGATGTCAGGAAAAAAGTAAACATACAGTCAGGCATTCCTGAATTTATCATGATGGTTTCACTTAGAGTATCTCACATGTCAATTATGTGTCACTTGTTTTATCCAAAACCATACAGTACCATCCCTGAGGTAAAGACAGCCAAAAGCAGTAATGGTGACAAAAACTGAGCAAATTCCATCAAGGCGCACAGCAAACCAGCGAGAAGTGGTCAGGAATAAGAACCAGGCCTCTGTTAGCAAACACACAGATTAGACAATACATATAATCTTTAGCACATGAATATTACTAATAATAAACATTTTAAAAAATTATATTGTATAGCTTTGAAAGGGTATGATAAAAAGTCAGTATCTTTAACTGAAATATAAAAAACATTATATATATTTATATGTTCTTATTCCCACCTGAGTGAAGATCTTGATATTCATCAAACAATTGTTGAAACCTCTGCTGAACCTTGAAGGCACGGATGGTGCTCAGGCCTTGGAGAGAGGAAGAAAGGTGGGAGAATACGGGACTCCGAGCTAAAAGAAATAAGATACAATATCTATTAACATTTGAACAAACAGGCACCTGCAAACTCAGCTCTTCATTCAACACTTCAATGGTGTTTTACAATCCAAACGCATTTTCTTTTTCTATACTAAGGTCAGTTCTAAAAGGTTCTAACCAAGATTTTTAACCATGAACGTGGTCTCAGAACATATTTTCTCTCATGTATCATACTTTTGAAACTGACTCTTTATATGTTACAATGTACTGCATTTTTAAGTAAGTCAATATATTAACTTTCAGAAGGTGTAGACAAAGAAAATGTGACGTGGTAATCAGTAGTGGAATACTAATGTGTACTGCATCAACATTTAATACGCCCCTGATGCAAAACAGTTTTGATTTAGGGATAGGTTGCAATTGAGTGGCCCTTTGTTTCTTTTTGTTAGGCTTACAAAACCAAAGACAAAACCTAAATGTTTCCTCTGAGCTTTTTAATAGAACTTTTGTTCTTTAAGATGATGGAACCTGTTGGCCAATGTGCATTTGGGCTCTCAGCCCAGAATAAAATAGATGAACTAAAGCCTGCAATGGCCTAGTCATGCCCACTTGGCATTTTTCCCATTATATGTGATGTCATGAACTCCAGTCTCTAGAGGAAACTGCGTGTGGCCGAGCTATAGGCCACCGCCACCTTTAGCCTTTATGCTAATGACCATGGCTTTCTTCAATGGTCTATTAGCATTCCTGTGGTCTGCTTTTGTCTCTTACCACAAATGGACATGCCCACCCCACCACCCCAAAAAAATTACTGGTAGACTCTAGGCGCTTGATGTCCCTGGAGGTCTGCAGGAAGTAGCATCGCAGAAACAGGAAGACAGCAAGAAGGGGAACAACGGGAATAAGGATCCAGGGGATGATGATGGCAGCTACTGCAATCACTCCAATGACTTGGAGGAATACCTGAGACAGAAGGAAAAATGTGAGCACAATATTAACCAAATAGCAACAGACTCCAAAGCCCCACTGCTGCTGTGTGGGCTACCACTGGGGCAGTGAGCCCTATTTCTTAAGGCTGAACAAGAGAAACTCTTTCTGTTCTGTTTGTGTGAGACCATCATGGACATACAGTAAGGTAACAGCAGGTTGTGGGACTGAGGTTATGTGATTCACAGTGTGAAAGGAAAACGATCACAGCGCTAATTCTCACTTAGTAGCAGGTGAGAATTTACCACTTGGCCACTGCAGCTCATATCCCTGGCTCTCTTGGGCTTTCCCTTCAACACTTCTGGCCTGTAAGCCTCCCTGGCAGAACAGCCAGCCAACAGGCATGGCCACAGTGACTGGCAGAGGGCTCTGGGAACCACACTGTGGGTGTCTGATACATCACACTGAAACCACACAGCCCTCAACAACACAGTGACTCATCACCCGTGTTAATGGCTCTGTGACACATCTAGACCAGGATACCAGAGCTGCATAAACAGGATTGGAGGCAATGAGTCTGACGACACAAAAGCACCCACACCTGCACTTTGTTTAGAAACTGAAGTAAGAATCTGATAAAGTATCATTAATATTAAAGATAAAATGCTTTTACCATATCCCACCTGTGGTGGTTATTATCTATTCTGCACTTAAGTACATTTTTTAAGGTACTTTTGCTTAAATTAATCTAAATACTTCTTCCATGACAGGATAGACAATACTAATAAAAGACTGTAAATGCACAGCCATATCTGAAAATAATTTAATACTACTAATAATAATAATACCTTTTCTGGCCAATTTTTGAAATAATTATTTGCAGAAAATATTTCAAGAATTGTACTTAGCTAGTACAATTCTGAGGTAATTACATGAGTATTTCCATTGTATACTTTACTTTACTACTTTACACTTGCAATTCAGAGGTAAAGATTGTACTTTTTTTAATCCACTACATTTATTTGACAGTTCTGGATTTCTGCTAGTTACTTTTCAGACAAAGAATTTTTATTAAAAAACAATATGGACGAGTTTCTAAAATGTAATACATTGCTTAAGATTACAGCAGTGGTTCCCAATCTTTCTGGTTTGAGACCCTTTACAAAAAAGCAGTTTAATTTAAATGAACCACTGTACTACGATACCTAACATTATATAAAGTAATAATATTACTATATTAAAAATAATATTTTCAGGAGTACTTTTACTTTTGGTACTTTGAGTACATTTTTCTGATTATACGTTTGTACTTTTTCTTAAATAGGATTTTGAATGCAGCACTTGTAATGCAGTGTGTTTACTGTGTAACATTGATACTTTTACATAAGTAAATGATCAGAATATTTCTTCCACCACTGAATATGTGAGAGACCATTTCTTCTGAACTGAAAGGTATACTGTGTTACATATTTCATATTCGATTGATAGATGATAAAATTGAAACCTTACACCCTGAAATTAGACACATCCCAAGAGATGAATCCTAAGACGTGGAGATTAGGATCATACTGTTACCTTCAATGGTCTCAGACTAGCCCAGAGAGATGAAAATTTAATTTAGCACCTTAATTACGGATGTTATCTGCCACTTAAGCACACATTTAAGCATGATCACTTTCAGTGTAGTTTTATGATGAAAAGCTACTCAATTCCATTTGCAGTTCTGATAAGAGGGTATTACTAGTCTAACCATTGCTGTAGTGGAGCCCACACAATCAAACAGTGAGTGGAAGCTACTGAGCACAACTGATCCCAAGAATTTCACAGTACATAAGTTTCAATCTTAGCCTTGATGGAAGGCTACCAGACTGCAAAGTGAGATGGTGGCACATGAGCCATTACTGCATGTTATCCAGCGTTCCCTAGAGGGGATCAAATATTAACTGAACAAATGTCTTATCATATATACTGTTTCTCTTTCACTCTCCCGCTGCTGATTGGTGACACAGTGACACTGCTCATTCATGTTTGCTGATTGGCTCATTTAAATTCTAATTGGGCCCATTTCAGTCAGGGGCCACGAAGGTCCGAGACAGGCTTATCTGACAGTGGGGTCATCTGAGGGGACAGAGGAGGAAGAGGAAGCATTAGATAGAAGTCTTGCCTCCTCCTGCTCCCCAGGGCCCGCCGTCGCCAAGGCCGCGTTTGATCGTGTGATCCATTTGCGTGGTCTGGCGCTTATCATGTCAGCATCGGGAACACCGTGGCCCCCACCCACACTACACACAGATGACTCCGATAAGTGATCCTACAAGCATACACCTCACCCCCTCAGACCACATACATATCTCCTATGAAACCACACAGGAACAGAAAACTCCCAAAGCCACATCCCGCTGCACATAAAAGTGGATAAAAGGATGAAAGGTTTTGTATACAAACAGTTTAAATAAAGAATTACCACTAATTGCTCTTTAGCAAGAAAAGAAAGCTACCGCACGCATGTGATTCAGCCATTCAAGCAAACTGGGCGCACTGCTGTGTCCAAAGACCATTGAGATCTCTGCTGACCCTAATTGCTTTATTTTCTCAATGATTCTATCAGCTCTTTGATGTCCAAATAAATGTAGAAAATTGAAGTTAATTGCTATATTTGTGTTCGGCAATGATAGCGACTGTTGTTCCGCAGCAGAAAATAAACACTTGCCTTTAATTAAACATCCCTCCGGACACAAGGAATCAGTACGCCTTTTACAACCCCCCTTTTCATCCTCCCTTTATTTACTGACAGTGTGCAATATTTGCCACTGGGAAAAAAAGTGCAAACAAAACAGGAAATGAGGGGAAAGCATGGCAAAGAAAATTCCTCAAAAGAAGTCTTCTGTCATCGCTGGAATTTTTTTTTTCACTCCACACTTTTCCATGACAGAGCTGCACAATAAGTTGCAAGGGTCAGTGGTACTGAAACAAAACAGGGCTGTTCCACTTGGGCTCTGGAACAATAGAAGTGACCCAATCCATTCTACTCTGTCTTTGGGCTTTATTTTAGCATTAAATGCCCAGATGCTGTGGCCTTTCTTTAGGAGAAATGACTGTGGACACCTCCTTCACATTTTCCTTTTCTGGGCCATTTTCACTTCATAAAGCTGCAGTCAATGTGTTTTGTGTGTGGTGAGGAGGGTCTGACACATACTGTGGTGGTCTCAGTCGCTGTCTACATTGGTGGCTCAAGTAGTCCTAGGATTAGGCCTTTGTGTGCTGTGAAAAGGTAAAAGAAGTCACTTATTTGGGCTCAGTCAAGCTGCTGATTTCCAACCCCATTTTGGAAATAAGAGAAAGGCTTTGAAATGCGGTCTCTCACTCTCTCTCTTTCTCTACCATAAATCACTTCGTGCCCAGCAAATTCATTCATTCAGTCATTGCTCCTTTTCTTTATTCTGCTTCCTCTTGAAAACAACACACACACACAAAAAAAACATTTTCAAATGTATACAAAAAACAGCAATTCACAAATACAAGTCCCTCACAGAAAGCACAGAACTCATTATCTTCATCGCATTGACATGAGGTGCGATTCAAGATTAGATTGGGACTTTGTTATGTAAGTTCCCAGGCCTGTATGTCTGAGTCAGAGCAGCTGAGGTGCTGGACCGCAGCATCATGAAAGACCACACATACACACACTGGAAGCTTTTGCTGGCCAGTGCTCGCCATCAAATGACCGTGTGTGGTATTGCTGAGTGCCCAGTCAAGCACACCCATGAGCACATTCATTAACAATGCTGTTTTCTTGTGTTTTGGTTTATCTCTAATCTAATTTGACAAATAAGTGAATAAAACAAGCAAATCTTTAGTCTTCTCGCCTTTCTTTTTTTTCACCTTGTGTAGGAAGATAATGGCGCTGTCATAAAACAATGCTCAAAGGGGATTTATGGCACAGCCTATATATTTCCACACAGGACTGTCTCCAGTGTTTCTCAGGATAACCTGTGTAACGCCTGGAGCCAGTGCATTCTTCACTTCTTCTGTCACCAGTGTGGTAAAGAAGCAGAGAAAGCCGGTGAAATCCCATCCTACAGCACTCACAGTTACGTCAGCAGTTCTCATATCCCACAAAGCCACTGAAAAGGCCTGACACACAATGTGCCACAATATACAGACTCACACAACGATCCACCCGCCAGTGTTTTTAGACAATAGCCATATTTTGCTCTGTTTTTGTGTGCGTCTTCAGTGCTGCTTGCTGGGTTTGTGTCTGCACACTGTACACATGCGCTCGCTCCTTTTCTCACGCGCACGCAAACTATTTTCTCTCTCTCCAGATGACTTTAGGGTTTACTGCTGTAATTCATGAGCCACTGTTTATTATTAATGTTTATACGCCATTAACATTGGTGAGACCGGGCTAACCTCCCCTTCAATGAAAGTAACTGTCAGCTGGTGTCTTAGCATACACATGCTGACAAACTGAATTTGCGTGGATGGTTATAAATGTGTATGGACCCCACAGTGGTGTGACTTGGTCAAGAGCCTTCACACAAAATCCTCCCCTGAAAGACCCCTATACTCACCCCCTATTGTCTTGCCCTCCTTCTCTGCACCCTCTCTGAAAATAGAGGCAACCCAGGATTTAAAGGTCAAGTCTACACAAAAGCTGACAGTCCCCAAAGCCTGAGGTGTTTTTAATTGACATTTCTGTCATTGTCTCCTGACCATAAAGAGGGAAGAGAAAGAGCCTATTTCCCAATACACTAAATTACTACTAAATGAGACCTGTGAAAAAAATAGGGCTCTGGGGTGTAACCAGGTTCCCCCAGCTTGAGGGAATCCCCTTGTTAGGTGGGTATGGGGGCAGTGCTGAGGGGCTGTGAAGTGCTTACTCCACCATAATGGGGGAGGCTCTGGTGCAAATCCCCGCACAGAAGCGGCCTCTCCCCATAGAGAGAGATAAACCAGTTAGGGCATTGTTTATGAAGTTTCACTTTATTCCCGCCTGACAACCATTTAAACAATGACTATGGGGAAATGTCCCTCTGCGAATGAGCAACAATAGTCAGGATCAGCAGCTTTTCTGCACAGCTAATACTGTGATAAAAAGAGTGAAAATCTTCCTTCCTGAAAGCATTAAAGAGTGCTCCATGAAAGACACCTGCAAACAAGAGCAGAAAGCAGCACAAACAAAAGTGTTTTGTCCAAAGGATGCCACCTTTGTCAGCTATCACAATCACTTCCCACTTTCTGCTGCAGCAAAAGACCGGCAGAAACATGTGCACATGATATATCCAGTCTTGTTTTGACTGTTTATTCCGATGAAATGATTATTCACTGCAATTCAGAAACATGGTTAAAAGACTATTGTGTCTCGAATTTCAACACAGGTAATGACTAATATGGTGGAGTGGACAAGTCACTCATGGAGTACAGTGAGGTCATATGTGCAACAAAGTCTGTTTTCTGTCGTGACCTAGTCTACTTTCACTGTTTTCAGTTGGACCTATGGGCCTTCTACAAAGTTATTATTTTACTCCAGCCATTATTCACCTTATTATCAAAATGAGGGAAACTATAGCAGACAAAAACCTTTTGTGCGTATGATCTTTTGTGCTTTCAGCATTTAAGATGGCTTTTGTCTACTGTGAGATGGGTATCTGCCACAAACATCACTCAGGCATTGTGGAGGGGGGATTCGTTTTCAGTGCGCCTTTGTTCTATTCTTTGGCCCTAACCAAAGAGCCACGCCTGCTCCTCTACCTCGAATTGTGCACCGAACATTCCCTTCTTTGTGGCACTAGGTGCATGAGCTGGCTCATCTCCGCAGGCTTTCGTGGGAGATGGCTGTCACGGTGGCAGGGTGGCATTTGGTAACCTAACCTGGTTATGCACCAGGGTGGCCGTTGGCTACCAGGCCTATAAGACTGTAGAGTGTTGGTAGAATTGCGATAAGTGGGGCAAGTCCCGCTCTGGATCTGTTCCAACTGACCTGTCCCCCTTCCCCCTCTACCACGCTTCCAGCTCCACTCCTGAAAAACACATCGTACGCCTGCTGCTCACACTTCTTCTCTTTGCCACTCAACACATCCTCCTTGTCAACCCCCTCCCCACTGTTTTCCTCCACATCGGACCCATCATCCTGTGGCCTTTATTTCCTCTTTGGTACCTTTTTCTCTCCCAATCACTTGCTTAGTCTCCATACACATTCTCTGAAGATGCCGCTTCTGTTGTGTCACAGTGAGGGAGCCACGCCCTCAGCCTATGTGCACACTTTTATTAAATCTGTGCAGGCGCTGGGCTGCGCTGGCGGGTAATCCTACAGTAATTGTTTCCAGATTAGGGGACCCGGACCACAAAGCAGGTTTAGCCAGGCATGAAATGGCCTTCCCATGCTGCAGCGCCAGCGACCAAACCTGCCGAGGTGAGACTCACCTGGATAAAGTCCACAAACGTCCATGGGAGCAGAGAGTCCAGGTAACCGATGTCCTTCGAAAACCTGTTGAGGATTCTTCCTGGGAAACAACACAGATTAGATGCCATGAGATTAGATGTATGTAAAATAGAATCACACGATTTATTTGTTATAAAGTGTATCATTAGTACAATCAGAATTAATATAGTAAAATTAGGTGTAATGAAATGTAATGAAATTTGCAGATCTAACTTTAAATTAGTTCAAAATAGTAGTTTGTTCGATATTCTTTATACATTAGCTACTCTGCACCCGTAAAGGCCAATATTTTGTTTGTTTCAATTTCCTTTAGTCTCACTAGACTATTGAGCAACTGTTACCAAAGTCCCCTCCAGTTTAATAGAAAAGAGCTTATACATTGAGTGTGATATCAGATGAAAAACACAGGCCTATCTAGATTAAACAATGAATCATTATTTGTCTAGCATTTCATAAAGACCGCCCTGCTCTTGGCTGAATACGTGAGGGAACCTTTTGTTTGGAAACAAAAGGGCAACAGAAGCTGCGTACCTGCCTTTATGTTCTGACTGGCAGTGTCAGTGACGTTAATTGAGTTGCCTCCAATCTGCTCAGGTGTTCATTATTTTGGCTGGTGCTCTGCAGGTGCTGTGGCAGCCCTTTATTGTGACTCTTTTAGTAACTTTGCTCCCCTATTCTGATCCCACAGCACATAAGATTACACTCCAGCTGCTTTCACACACTGTTTACTGCAGGGTCAGTGATAGCAAATCCCCACACTACATTACCTAAAGGCAGGCAAGACAGAAAGCCTTTCTCTATCTCTGTCCCTAAAGGAAGCCCTCAGACTCTCCGAGGCAGACAAAAAGGAACCAGAGCCGTGCCAGCATTGCCACTGCTAAAACTGGGCTCAAGTTAAAAGACAGGAACAAGCTGTGGATCTGTGTAGTCTATAGTGTATATTCCCTGTCAAAGCGCGTCCAAAATTGTGTCATAATGTTTCTTACTGTGCTTAAGCAACCCATTGTCTCTCACGGTGACACATCACTAAGCAAACAATAATATCTGTCTGAGGAGAATATAAATAAAGCAGCACTCACATATTTAGGGTACAACCCCTGATAAAGTGAAACTAACCGAACAAGCATGCAGATGAGTTTATCTAGCCTCACAGAATAGGCCATGAAACAGGGTGTGACTAGGTGCGGGACCGAGAGAGAGCAGCACGTTGGCAGAATGTGGCGGTATGGCACTCTAGAGGCGTGGCGGAGCCATGGCACCACTGACCTAAAAGTTGCCTCCCAGCCTCGCAGCCAGTCCTACGGAGGTGGGCCCTGTAATCACCTCTCTCCACGGCCGTAAGCAGCTTACAGCTTTATCCAAAATACCGCTCCTGCCTAAAAACATGCATGCAGACGAGGCCGGGCTCCCCATAACAGCCATTGCATAAACCCAGCCAGAGCATTATTCCCCGCAACAACCCAGCAATGCTCCAAATCAGCACTGATTCAAAGTCAAGTGGCGTAAGCATGTTGTACACTTGGAGGCAGACTAATCTTATTCACAGTGTGAGTGCCCCTTTAGCATACAGACATCCCGAGGGGAGGGTTCAAGCAAGGGGGTAAAGCTGCTACTATACTACTGTAGAATATTGCTGCTTTAGTCTGGGAATGGGGGGAGTACTTGTCAAACTGTGTTTGTGGAAGATCCAATAATATTTTATGTAATTTTACTGTCTAAGCCATAGATGACCTAAATCCATGCATATCTTACAAACAATGCCAATAAGAAAAGGATAGGTTTCTCCTGGTTACATCATACTATGGTTAGAGGGTGTTAGAGCAGGGAACATCAGTCAGCTATCAGCTGTTTGACAAGCGGCTCAGTTAACAGAGAGTTTCATAGGGGATGAAGTAAAAACCCTTCTCCATCCTGCGCAGACTATAGAGGGGATACATTACAGTGATGCAGTTACACAAAGACATTCACTGCATGGAAATGCCTATGAGGTAAGATCGGCATGGGACAATGGCTTCAATCACTATGGGTGGTTGTCAACAATATCACCTATTGTGTACAGAGGGGTATAGACGTTTCAGGATATCAGCAGCATTAGTATCAAACAATTTCTCATGGTTTAAGACTCCAGGGGTGATTTGCACCACTTTTTCAGGCTCAGGAAATATCAAGCCCTCCCAACTAAGGTGGCCCCTTAGGTGGAGATATTAGGTGAGCAGGGCCCCGAATCACACTTAAAGAAGTGGAACAGTGGGGTCCGGCTAGAGCAGGGCGTGTGGCAAATCGCTGTTCCCTGTAAACATCAAGATAAGGGGACGACTCAGAGCCGCTCCATGTGTGGGCCCCAGTGCAGTTGGAGGGGCCTTTCAGTGAGGCATGTGCGATAATGAAGGAATACCGGGGAGGGGGCTGCCAAGGCTGGAGGTGGCACAGCTCACCTGCACTTCCATGAAGGGCCTAGGGGCCTGGGGCAGCCTCCCACCGCTGGCGCCTTGCTGCCAATACTAATACATTCTAAATCCATTCTCTTCGCTCACACCGCCAGGCTCCTGCAATCTCCTCTCCTTCCCTTTCATGCAATTAAATAGTGGAAGTGGCGAGCGAGGGGGAGCCCTATCAGCCATACTGCACACACACACACGGCTCCATCTCCACATTCAATTTACACACCTCGATATCATCATCCTCTCTGCAGTACTTCCTCCACTTCGCTCTTAACACTCTTGCATCCCAGACCTGAAATACAGACATTAAAAACATTGCCTCTGTAGACACAATTAGAATCTCACATCACTCGCTACAGAAGATCTAATGTTCCCTGCGTCAACAGCAACTGAGTGACACCTAGCACTGAGATGGCCCACTATGCCGATGTGAAAGGGGGACGGTAGAAGTGTGTGTGTGTGTGTG